TGGTGGTGATGGTGGTGGTGGTGATGGTCGTGGTGATGGTGGTGGTGATGGCGATAATGCTAATGGAGGAAGAGTAGGAAAAATGGAATTGGTAAAAGAGAAAGAAGAGACCTTGAAGGCCCCTCCACCCCTTGCATCATCAGGGCTTATCATGTGAAATGTCACCATATAGGAAATCAACTATATATATATATATATTTATTTGGTAAATATATATATATATTTACCAAAAGAATGTAGTAGAAATATAGAAAAGTACTTTAACAGAACTATGCCTTAAGTTTGCTAGAAATATAATTTATGATGTTAAGTAGTTGCTGGAAAACTGAGGGGAAGATGCTATCACTACAGAATGTTTAAAAACAACGAAATAAAGGATTCCTTTTAATGCCATGAAAGAAAAGTACAACTCTTGAAGAAATCCAAAATATAACTAGCAGAGGATTTTACTGGAATGCCTTCTATAAATAATGAAAGAAATATCTTTTTTGTTTTAAAAAAATGTTTATGCAGGTAATATTTTAAAATACTGATCAGCCTTCATTCCCTTGATTTGTAATTCCACACTCTTTCATGTTTCTGCAAGGTGAACTCTAGAGGAAGTGAGGTGAATATAAACCGTGGACAATTTGGCATGCATCTCTAAAAATACCCACCCTTGGCATGAATGCTATTCATTTTGGCAGGGGGCTTTTATACCTTTTAAAAACAGATTACCTTGTATGTCTTTCCTTTGCGTCTTTTCATTTTAATCTCAAATTTTCAAGAGATGTAAAACTACTTTCCGAAGAGCTCTGTAGGGGATACCGATTCTGGTCTCGCATAGTCCGGGAACTGAAAATTTGAATAGAAAAAAATCACAATTAATGAAGTGTTCGGTGAATTTGATTTCATTTTGCTTTTTAAGTTTATCCTGTCAGCAGGCCATGACTTGATTGTAGCGCTAAAGTGGCCATTTAAAACCAATTGCCTTGAAGAGAGGGGCACTGGGAATGGAGATCCCTTCAAGGTACTTAGTTTTAAATGAGTGCTCTGACAGCCATGCCCTTGACCCTGCACTTTCGAAAAGCCTTCCATGTTTGCGCTGCGCTGGATTAATACAAGAATCAAACAAAAACACAAAACACGGTATCATTTTTTTTTTTTAGAGATACTGTGCTGCAGCTGTTAATCCTCTGCTTATACATACTGACCCCAGGCAGTGGCTAGGATGGCGCCTGCAAACTAACGGCCCAAAGCAAAATTCCCCACGTGCAAATAGACAGGAAAGGTAATTTCTGCTCTTCTTGCAGCTGAGAAGCTCATTCAAACAAGCCTTTGGGAAGAAAAAGTCCACCAAGCCTCCTTCCTCGCACTCGGACATTGAGGAGCTGACGGACTCTTCCCTGCCAGCCTCCCCTAAGTTGCCCCACGGTGCCGGTGACTGTGGCTCAACCTCCATGAAGCCTTCACAGTCCGCCTCCGCGTAAGTCGCTCCCTCGGCAGGATGCCCAAGTGTTTGCTGAAAACAGCAAGCCCGGACCCGGGCTCTGAACAGACCCGGGTTGTCCCTTCACAGCTGCAGTGACCTCTCTGTGCCAGCCATTTCCAGATCTTCCTTAAAATGGCAGGCGCAGCATTTGTTTCTCCTTCATTTTCCTTATATTAGAACTTGAGTGTTTCTTGATCTCAGGCTCAGCTCTTCTCAGTTATCCTCCCGTCTTTTCACTTGCATTGGTCCGTGCATCTGTCTAACTGTGCGTTAAATGCAGGTCACCCCTTGCCTGGCCACCAAAGAAACGGCAAAATGGCCCTGTGATCTACAAGCATAGATCCCGGTAAAATGGAGTGTGTTGCATGCAAATTGCCAAGACTCAGGTTCTAACCTAAGCACTGCTCCTCGCTTTTGCTTTTTCTAAAATCATTTGCATGCGTTTCAGCCATGGAAACCTCTTCTGTCCTCCTCGTTTGGTAGTAAAATTTGGTTTCCTGCAGCCAAACTGCAAGCCGTTTTTCTTTAATTGTGTTAGACAATCTAATACAACTATTTTTTATTGTGTCCCACTAACTGACGTCATAAGAAAGGATAAACCATTTAGCCTGTAGAAACATGTGCTCCAGTGATTATCTTTGTTCTTGGGTACTATTTATTTTTTAATTTTGGAGAGGAGGTAATTAGGCTTATTTGTTTGTGCATTTGTTTGCTTATGTATGTATGTATGTATGTGTTTTTAGAGGAGGTACAGGGGATTAAACCCAGGACCTCATGCACATTAGGCATGCACTCTACCGCTGAGCTATACCCTCCCCGCTCTGGGTACTATTTAAATCAGATTTCCTCATGTGCCCATGACAATGGCTAGCCTGGACCTGTCACAGGGACAAGGCCCCTGGTAGGACGCTGTAAGACCCTTGTACACCCCATATAACTTCCTGACTTATGCAAGGAGGAAGAACGTAGCACTATCAGCCTGTGACCAGCAACTTAGTCCTTACATTTTCAATGGAAAAGATACTTGTTTACATAAAACAAATCCTTTTGACGTATTTCCTACAAAGCTGTCTACCAAACAGCAGTAAAACAACCAAAAGGATGTAATGTGTATGGCCTTCACGCAGCCCCCAGCTAGCCGGCTTGTTTGGGTTGAAACCTGTGATTCGGCTTCATTAGCTGATCTCCTCAATCACCTGAGCCTCCTGGGAGGATTATGCAACCTTCATCCGTTATTTAAATGTCCAAAACTAATCTCCCTGATTTATTTTCTGCAATGTGTGTATCGAGTTTTCATGGTAACCTGAAGACAGCATTGTGGCAAATCAGGTCATCCTTTGCAAAATTTGGCAAAACAAGAGATCAACATTTTAAGGACGTCGTAACTTTGCTTTGAAGAAAGGTTTCAGTTGTTGTAAATAGAGACTTAAGTCCCCGGAAAACTGGTAGAATGAGATGGAGTAATAACCATGACTCTTCAGCTTCCTCAATGTTAGCAACAGGGGAATTTTGAGAATCACTTTATATACAGCAATGGTAGATTGTTTTTAAGTTTCAGAAAAGAGGAAGAAAAGATTCAAAGAAAGAGAGCTACTCTTGGCAGTTTTGAACCTGTGAATGTATTACTGTTTGTAAAACTCCTCCTTTTCTCTAGGTTTTGCCAGCAGCAAATAATTGCTGTATCTGCTGGTAATATTGCAGTTCAGCTTTTTAAAGAAGCCTTGCATCTCCTAATCCTCTGGCTTCCCCATAACCACTGAATTCATGCTTGTTTCTGTCTTCAGGATCTGTGAATGCACAGAGGCTGAGGCAGAGATAATTCTGCAGCTGAAGAGTGAGCTCAGAGAAAAGGAATTAAAATTAACGGATATTCGGCTGGAAGCCCTCAGCTCTGCTCATCATCTTGATCAGATCCGGGAAGCCATGAACCGGATGCAGGTCAGTCTGAAAGCATCTTCAGGGAACAAACAGGAGAGACTTAAAATGCCACTTATTTTCTTCTCTTAGACAACTCTTCCTTTTAAATCCATTTTTTTGGAAATGTCCTCGGTTTATTCAGTCTTTGCAGCTCATCTCTCGAGACAGAATGGAGAATTTTGTCAAATCCAGGTTTTCCCAAACCTGGCCAGATGCACTCAAGGACCGTTGAAGACACTTGTACTAGTGATTGAACTCACTGAGAGCTAAGTTTTTAGAGAAACTTCCACAGCCCTCACTTCTTCACTTTTCCAGGGTTTACCTTTATGTTAACTTTTTTTCTATTCCTTTGAAATTTGACTCTAAAATACCTTTACCTATTTTGTATAGAAAAGCAAATGCGACAAGGAAACTCCAGGCATAGAACACGAGCTTTCTAAATATGAAAGTAAAAGTGATGGAGAATGCCATCGGCAAAAGTCAAGCTTTTGTGTTTCTTGGAAGGCTCTGAAGCCTAAATTCAGAACCAGTCTGCACTCAGACCAAGTTTTCATTTCTTACTGTGAACCAGTAACCACTGGGTACCACAGGTGACTGAAACAGGAAAAGCTCATTGCTGACTAGATTCATCTGCCATCATGTATATTCATCAAAAGGTTTTTGTTGTTTCTATGAGCTTAGTGCCCCATTTTGAAGGAACAGAAACCTTTTCAAACGTTAGCTGGGATGCTGAAGTAATCATTTTCATCACCTTCTTTATATTTCTTTTGTTCTGCTCTTGGTAATCATTTCATCACCTTCTTTATATTTCTTTTGTTCTGCTCTTGGCTTTCAACTCTCCTTAAATTCAGAGTATTACAAATGGCATTGTTTGCTAGGATGAGATTTTAACAGCACTTTTAAAATGAGAAGTGTTATGAACTCTTCAGTTGTTAGCCTTAATTGAAATGAGACCTTGTCCTGGAAAGCTCCTCAAATATATGATAGAGTCAGAAAAATTATTAAAAAATTCTAACAGTGTGTCTATGTTTGTGAATACCTGAATAAGTGGATGTGAGCGACAGAGAAAAGGATTACTTTTCCTTCTTTGGAAGAAAATCCTGTTTTCCTAATGTGTATTTGTTTACTGAACGTATCACCATGTGCTTTATTTAATGAACAAACTCATTAGCTCTGTCAGAAGAGTCGGTTCCTTCCTCTCAGTCAGGCTGCCTTCATCTTTTTCATGTTCTCCATCTTCCCAACAGAATGAGATTGAAATTCTGAAGGCTGAAAATGACCGGCTGAAGGCGGAAACCGGAAACGCCGTGAAGCCTGCTCGGCCCCCGTCGGAGTCCTCCAGCAGCACCTCCTCCTCATCGTCCCGACAGTCACTGGGGCTTTCTCTGAACAATCTGAACATCACGGAGTCTGTGACCTCAGGTGAATTTGTGCACATGCCTGCCTGTGACTTAACAAGGGGGGAGATCTGGAATTTGGAGAGCCTGACCCACCGCAGCTCTCACCCATGCCCTCTTCAAACCGTTAACGCCGTCATCCTCAGAAATAGTCCTGTTTTTCCCCCTTATGAATTTACTCTGCAGCGTTATAATTTTAAAAGAGCGTTCTGCATGCAAGAGGGGACTCCTAAGAAATGTGATTTTCATATCATTCTTGTAAAAAGTTACCCGTGCTTGAAAAGCACTTCCGCCATGCTTACAAGTAGGATGAAGACATAATATGCTTAGCGATGATTGTTAGTACTTCTGAATAGAATACTCATAACCCCATGCAATTTTATAGTATTTTAAGTGCACGAAGCCCATTTACAAGTGTATCAGGACCTCTTCCTAAATTTGACTAGATGATCGTGTATGATAGTTCTGGGAGAGAACATAATGCTACTCTATCACCCAGACTGCAGCTCTGTTAAATTTTTGACAAACACAAAGAACGCACTGGATTCTATTATTGTATTCAGCAGTGATACTAATGATGGAACAGGGATACAATTTTATTCAATTGCAAAGAGAATCGCATGGCGTAATGTTGTCTTAACAGCTGATGAACTATACAATTATAAAGCAGAACTGTTCCTATGGCATTGAATCATTGTATGTATATAAGACAGTTTACGAACGATTTACAGGAGGATCTGTGGTCATTGCAAAGCACAGCCGCTAGATGGCGCTTGGAAACCAAATATACATGTTCCCGGGCAATTTTTAGATTCCATTATGGAACTGGAAACTTCACAGCTTGCCTTAAATTATTTTAAAATATAGAAAAAGAAGATGAAAACGAAGAAGAGAAACAGAGATACAACATGCTGATATTGATGATATTTTTAATAAATAGTATCTCTTGCTTCTAAAATGTCAGAATGTTTTTAAAATTCTATTTTATCTGCCCCTCATGATATAAAATGAATGGCCCAAATGTATACTTGCTTTCTTCTTATAAAAGGCAAGTAAGAATTTCCCGAAATTCATAAAAACAGTGTTTATACCATTTGGCAGGCATTTGGGGCAGGGAAATGAATTCTGAGAATAAACACCAAGGAAAACAAATATTAGTAGCTAAGAAACAACAGAGAGATGTCATAATTAAATGAACTTATGAATCATTAGGTAAAATACAACTGAAAAAATGATAGTAACTTGAATGTGTAAATTGTCTATTGTCCACACTCTTCAAAAGACGGTGGAAAAAGACAGAACAAAAACTTTAAATGTAGAGAATCTGAGAGTCCAGAATAGCATCCTGTTGGTTGGCTTGTCTGTCGGTGATGAACCTGAGAGGTAAAGTAGGAGCCACACCTAGTGGCAGTCAGTGTCTTCCTGTGTCCTGGGGCTTCACTTCTAAGGAAAGGCAAGGGCTGGTATCTCACAGGACAGCTTAACGTCGCTTGGAAACCAAATATACATGTTCTTGGCAATTTCAGATTCCATTATAGAACTGAGAAACTTCACAGCTTGCCTTAAATTATGCTAAAATATAGATTTCACTGCCTGTTAAGATGATTTTGTTTTAGCCTATGTAAATAAGATAAGGTTTGAATGAGGCAAATTTAGTATGAAAAGTAGTTTAGGAGAAACAACCATATAAAAATGAAACTAAAATTCACGTCTAGGAAAGACTAGAACTCATAAAGATAAATATAAAATCAAAGAAATTAAATTTACAATTTCTGTGTACATTGAACTAAACATACTGATGGTCATGACTCCAGAATTTGGGGCAGTTTGGTTGGGGGGAGGATTTCTTTTTTTTGAAAATGTGCTTTTTAATTGCCCATTTCATCATTTATTTTTTAGTCCTATATTATTTTATTTCCTCAATTACTTTTCAATCATGGTACTTGTGTCTAAACTAAAAAAGTTTTTAATCACATGTCGAGGATACTGTTTTCATTGCCTTCACTCTTGTTTAGTGGGCTCACGATTGAAAATCAAAGTGCCTTTATGCTGGAGCTGTTTAACAGAAAAACTTTCTAGAGTTCATGATTAATTTTTAAAAAAAGACGTAGGCGAGAGAGAGGATAACTGACAGATGTCCAGTTCCTGACATGCAGGTACCATACCCCCAGTGAAGACAGAAGTTTGAAAAGCCTTCAGTTTTTTGTCCAAATTTCACTTAAGCATACCCGGAATGGCAGATCTTTTTTATTCTTTTTTCAAAATGTTGACAGAGGACCGTAACTTATTTTCCATGAAAAAAATCCACAGAGGACCCTTACCTCAAACTTGCTTATTTGGTTTACCTCGGAGTTGTTATTTCAGGTGACCATCCCATCAGTGTCCTGGGATCAGGGGGAGACCCAGAGTGAATCATGATGTGTTCCCCCTACTGTCAATAGAGCGAGTTAGAATAAACACCCAGAGAAAAGGAATAAGGTCAGAACAGCTGAATTTACTAAACGCTGAGGATAAGCCCGCTCTCAATAACTCCATGGAGCAGATGCTGTTTGAGCCCCACTTTACAGATGGGGAAACCAAGACTTGGGAAAGTGACTATAATAATTTGCCCATGGGCATGCATCAAATAAGTGGCAGAGTTAATATTTGAACCCAGGCAGGTCTGGATGATTCCAATGCCTAGCCTTTTAACTACTATATTCATTTTGCTATATTCACCTATGCAAGAATCCAGGACAGACATTCACTCATTTTTGGGTAAATATTTACCCCACTGCTGTCAGAAGATATCTTATATTTTAAGCATAGTTCTTAAGAGTAAGCACGACATGAAATGAATAACATGTTCTAAGGCAAACTTGAACAGATAAGTGGATCAGAAATCAAATTAAACTGCTGCTCTGGACTACCAAGCTGTACAGATCTGGCCCTTACCCACCTCAGGATCATTTCACACCTCCCCAACTCCCCTGGGTCTCTGTGCTCCCGGTGCCAAATATCTGTCTGTTCTTTGGACACACTTACCTCTTTCATCAAAGTTTTTGCCTTCGTTCTTGTTGACTGACCTCTTCCTAGGTCTTCACTTGCTTAGCACTTCTCAGCCTCCTGGTCTTATCCCCAAACACCACCTCCTCAAGGAAGCCTTCCAGGATGGCCTGTCTCCCTAGAGCAGGCTCCCTTCAGCTCCTCTGTTCACTGCCCTGTGCCCTTTATCTCTTGCACTTAAAACATTCTGAGAGTACCTTGTTGAGAGTGAATACTCCAAAGGGGCATGGACTTCACCTCCCTTCTCACCATAGTACTTATTCCCAATACCCAGTACAGTTCCAGATTTCTTTTATGCTTAATAAATTATTATTTAAAATAAATATTTTAAATATTTATGAACATTTAAAAATAATTGAGTAAAGTACTAAAGGGGTACTTTGATCATGAACTACTAGATATTTAGATGTGAATGATAAGCCACTCTAAACTTTTGAGAAAAAGAGCAAGAAGAGAATCTGACGCTTAAGGAAGAGTTTTGAGTGGGACTGGCAAAAAGGTGAGAGACTGAGAGGATGCTCATCTAGCAAAATAAATAAGTTCCAGTAAAGGAGATTGTCTCTGATGATTTAAAAATTTCTAGCAAAACTCTCCATACTCCTCAAACTCTAAATGTGTTTTCTGATGGTTATGACGTTAAGATTTTTTTTTTACTTTTTCCTTTGTGAAACTGCATATTCTTTGTTGTTAAAGTAATGAAACTATTTCATTTTCTGAAGCCATTCGATTAAATTGTTGTTTCTATAATGATACAGTTACAGTCTTTGTCTCTATAAGTGTACAATTTGAGCAGTTGAATCCTCTGTCACCAGGCACATGTGCTCTTAAACACATAACTAAGCTTTCTTTGTCCGCAGAATATTATCTTCATATTAAACACGGCTCTAAATAGCTTTCTTGTCAAAGGAAGACATACATGTGGGATAGTTGGCCACAATAATTCTCCAAACTGTATATTAAGCTCATATAGTGTATTTTGAAACTTAATCTTTAGCCACATTTAAAGGTTGGTGGTTTAAAGGTTAGCTAGCTTTATCATGTTTCCATAACTCTTAGCTCATTACTGGAAATACTGTTTTGGTTTTGAAACTATAAGCATAAAGAGGGCAGGAGAGTAGGACAATTAATATACTTCTGCAGGGAAGTAGAATGCTGTGGTTGAAAGTCAATAACATTACCTAATAATTATAGATACAAGGTGCACAGTGATATAGCTGCATGTGTGCCAAATGCTTGAGAATGCTTTCAGTTGACAGTCAGTCTCAGCACCTTTGCATTCATAATTACATGGGTACCGAGCTTGGGAATTCTCGGTTGGAAAGAAAAATCAGATTGCTTTTCAGTTTGTCACAGTTATAACGGTAACTGAATATTGCTTTGGTATTACTCAGACCCGTGTGTGATAGAAAAACAAACCCCTGACTTCCTCAGCTACAGGCAATGGCCCAAAACTTGGGTGACGCTACTGAAAGCAGAAACACAGTCTTAGGTAGAAACTTTCACCCTACCCTAGTCGTTCGCCTTCTGGAAAGCCGAGATTTTTCCAACCAGTTAGATTGGAATTAGCAGCAGGAAAGCTCAATATTCCCACCAAAAGATATAAAACGAGGAGGGAGAAAATGATGACAGTCAGCAACTCCAGGCTAACGTGACTCTGTTGTGTGTGTGTGTTTTCTTTGAAAATTTGGTAGATATTCTGCTCGATGATGCCGGTGATGCAACGGGACATAAAGATGGTCGCAGTGTGAAAATTGTAGTTTCCATAAGCAAGGGCTACGGTCGAGCAAAGGTATTTCTCTGCTCTTACATTCTTTGTTACTAAAAGATGAGAATGACCATGAATCAAACATATTTAAATATGTATACTTGCCCTGGCCAATATGCTATCAGCAGTGTCTCAGTCTTTTTTTTTTTTCTTTAATTTTTTTTTGCGGGGGTAATTAGATTGATGGATGGATTGGATTGATTGATTGATTTTTATGTTTAACAGAGGTACTGGGAATTGAACCCAGGACTTCGTGCATATTAAGCATGCGCTCTACCACTGAGCTATACCCTCCTCCCATGGCATCAGCAGTGTTTTGTCTTGCATTGGCTTTAATATATTATAAAAGTATGAAAAGTTAGGGACTCAAGAAATGACATCATCATCTACATAGATGTGTCTTTGTACGTCATGTTCCTTCACTGAAAACGATATTGTTGATCAGCCACTCTCATTTCTAAAACTTAAAAAAAAAAGCACATTGCTTGCTCTGACATAAACATCTTGTCTACCTTATTCCTTCAATGCCACTTAAAGAACACAGTTCATATTTATGATGTGTTAGTAACATGTTGCTGAAGCTGTCAGTACAGTCTTTGCACAAAGACAAGACCACAAGCTATGTGGGTAGTCTAGAGCTGGGAAAGATATATTTTCTTGAACTCGGTGTGACGAATTCCATTGATGCTACTTGTGTGTATCATTTTTAAGGAAATTCTTAGCTGATAAGGCAAGTATTCTAATTTTTCTGGAGTTAAATATCGCCTTCAAATTGACAAGGGCATTCTGACTCCAGCCTCTTCTTAAAACTAAAAGATTTCAAGTTCAGATTGTAGTTGAGTAGACAGAAGTGAAAATTTCTAAGTATCCACGATTTGTCTTTATCAAAAAGAAAAACAGAAAATTACTTAGAATTTTGAAATAATTGAAGTATTTAAGTTTGAAAAATGAGAATTTTCACACTGAGCAAATACTCCAAGAATTCCAGTGTCACAAACTTTCTGCTTGAGCTGCAAATCTGTGCCTGAATTTCTCAAGTGGGTCTTTATGCAAAGGACTATAATAGCCTTGGTGAAGCTTAAATTATCTCTAATTTAAAAGCAGCTACTTAAAAGCACTGTATGAGTGTCCATTTTGAGTCAGTTATAATAATACTGGAAAACAAGTTTTCTTTTTCAAAATAATTCTAAAAGGCAATAATTTTGAACATGAGAAAGTAGTTATCTTAGTTTTCTTGGGTTATGGTAAAAATATTATAGATTGGGTGACCTGAACTACAGAAATTTATTTTCTCACAGTCATGAAGTCCAAGATCAAGGTACTGGCTGATTTTGTTTCTGTTGAGGGCTCTCTCCTTGGGATGCAGATGGCCGCCTCCTTGCTATGTTCTCAAATGGTCTTTCCTCAGTGCGTGTACTTGGGGGGAGGGAGAGAGATCTCCACCCTACGTCACCTACTTGGAAGGCCACTAGTCCCATGACGAGAGAGCCACTCTAATGGCCTAATCTAACTTGTTAACCTCTTGCTGGCTGCATTTCCAAATACTATCCCATCGAGGGTTATGAATTTGGGGAAGACACAAACGTTGTCTATAACAGTAGTTAAAATCATAACAATGGTTTTGCTGTGAATTTCTCAACTTTTTTCTGTAAAAAATATTGGCTTCTAGTCAGGTTATATCTAAACAATGGTGATAATCATTTACCCTTATAGAGTTAAATGTTACAGATGAAGAAATTGAGGCTCTGAGTCGGCTACGTGACTTAACCTAATGTCACATTTCTTAGTTACATGGTAGATGTTGTGTGTTGTAGAATCCATGTCTTCTAACACCTAGCTCATTTATTTTTCTGCCACCTCTTAAGGACAATGCAAGTTGGTTCCTTGAGCCAGAATTGTGATACATCAACTATCTAGTTACATCTGCTGGTGTCATGATCACTGTCTCATGTCACCATTCCAGTCAACATAAAAGAGGCTTCAGTTAGTCTATAAATCTTGAGTTGTTTATTTTTCTGTACCTTGTAGCAATTCCTCAAAATCTCATCCTACAAGCAAGATAAATTTGGGACTGTTATTAATACAAATAAAGGAATTCTTAATATTAATATAAATAAAGGAATTCTTTGCTTGACAAAGTAAGTCCAGTAGGATTCTTTGGCAAGTCCTTTTAAATATTAAATTTTCCTGGACATTCAAGATGGGACCTGTCTTGTAAATATGTGAATGCCATACTACCGTGGATAACTTGTTTTCCAAAGCTGGATTGGATTTTAGAGATAATCTAAAAAAAAAAAAAAAAAAAAACCCTGAGATTTAGACTTAACAAAGATAAGATCACAACAATAATGAGATGAAGTCCTAGGTAGTTCTAGTCCATCTCTGTCACCGTTTCCCTCCTACCAAGCTTCTGCTTCTCCAGATGCACCCACTGCATTAAAAGGGCAGACCCTTCTCCCCTGGTCGTTTTCCCTTCTGCTGAACAGGTCATGCATGAATCCGTTTTCCTTGACCATACCACTTTCCTTCTTGTTTTTGTTGCTATTACTGTTAATTTGTTTCTTTGGTTGACTGGTTTGTTGGTTGATTGGGGTATTTTGTATTTTATATAACCCACTGTGTATATTTGTTATTATAAACCCCATAGGCTTCATACATATTTTAGTGTTAATTACCACTCTATTAATATGACTTAGTAGAAGATGTAGTAATAAGACAAGGCACACGGCTGGGTTTTATCTTGTTTTATTTTGTTCTCCTTTAGGACCAGAAGTCTCAGGCCTATTTGATAGGATCCATTGGTGTTAGTGGAAAAACCAAGTGGGATGTCTTAGACGGTGTGATTAGACGTCTCTTTAAGGTAAGCTGTGCAAGGTATCCGGATACGAGTTTTCAAATGTGTTTCTCTTTGGACGCTTTCCTCAGCTTCAACGGCATTGATAAATCTGCTTTTCCGCTCCTCTATTTCAAACACTAAGGGAAGCTTTCTCTCCTTATGCCGTTTGATATTCATAGTTCTGATTTTACCTGTTTCTAAAATTCTTGACTGCTAGCTTCACGTCCCCATGAATTTTGTATTTGTTGTACAGGAGCTGGAACT